ACAGGTACGAGAAACATTTTTTAGTGTAAATCGCTTCTTACGTTTTCACAGGGTATAACATTTTTGAAGACAGCACTGGCAGTAGTCTTGCGCCGATTTAGTACTCCTGAACAGATCCCGAAATGGTTTTCTTCACACTATACGCGGTCTTATTTCCCGATCGATCCTTTTGTATTTTCTGCATTCTACTTTCATCTCTTACCCATTCCTTGTCGGACTGTCCGACTCCCGACAACTTGATCTAGCATGCTGGCTGTTGAAACTAAAGCCGTCTAGCTACTTCGAACTGAGTGGGACATATACGCCTCCTACATATAAATAATGAGTAGTGTCAACTGTTCTGTTGCAATGAGCACAGATTGTTTGGAAAGGATCGCAAAATGATTATTGACCAGGTTTGCGGATACGGTCGGCCTATTAGTCACATGGTCCATCGAATCCAGTCAATATAAACTTCATATAAATCGGAGGGTACCTTTTCAGCATATTACAATATCTACACTCCAGGTTCAGGTTTGGAATCCAAACGATCCAAATAAACGAGTACATTTTGCCGTTGGTTTTTGGATCACATGTGCATTCACTCCGTAATGTATACGGATGAGTCCATTTTTCATTTGCATGGAATAAACTAACAACATTTCTGGGCTAGTTAAAATCCACGCAGATACGCAGCGTCATGTATTCAGCATAGCGCCAAGCTGATGGTCTGGGCTGGAATTACTGGCCAGAAAATCGTTGGACTAATTTTAGTTTCCAGGAATGTGACCGATAAGTTGTTTTGTATTACGCAACCCTTACTTTTGCTAGCATCGTCGCACAAGGAATTGCTCTAGACTTGCGTACTGCCACAGTTGGAAGCGGACGGAGTTCGCAGTACCATATGGTTGCAGCATGATGGTGCACCAGCACAATATGATCAATCGGTGCGAGAATATCTCTGCTAGAAATTCTTCCAATGTTGCATCGGTCATGGAGGCCCCATCGAGTGGCCCGTACAGTCACCCGATTTAAACCCGCTGGCATTTTTTCGATGGGGATATTTGAAGTGAAGGGTTTACAGAAACAAGACCGATTTCCCTCGAGCAATTACAGCAGAATATTGTGAAGGAATGCAACGCCATCACCCCCGTGACTTTGCAGAAATTGCTTGCTAACTGCATCAAGTGATTTCTGTACCGTAGTCAGAATGTAGGTGGACACTTTCAAAATCTCCTTCCATGATATCTATGTCTGTCTAACCCTGCTACTGTAAATATACGTATCCTCGATTGCACATGGCATGAAGACTAAATCGGCCTCCAGACGATTGGTGCCAATGATGAGTCGGGCCGAAGTTAATGTTATGTGCATTGCCTGCTTCTTCAGCGGTCTGCGCCACTCCGAACGCCGTGATAATATGGGAGTATCCGATGCGTAGATTAGAGTCTACATATTGGCACCGTTGGTGCAAATATTCTCCAATCTACACCGGAGCCTTAAGTAAGAGATTATTGGTATCTTCGATACATTGTTTATAGACAAATTACGTATCGGTCATGGTGCAAATGCACACCGAGCTTCTTGCTTGTAGCAGAAACCTACGTTTGGGTACCGTGCAGCTTACCGATCCGTGTCAATGCGTCTAGTCTATGCAACCAAGGTGATCCGTATTTTGCTCCGTCATATCTACGTTTGTGGGCGGCTACCCAGATGATCGAGATATTTGGTCAGACAGGTACTTCAACATGGCAGTTGTTAACTTTACCGTAAAAGGGATGGACCTATCGTTTTCAACACAGTAGTCCCACGCGCGACTGGTGGTGGTCGCGCGGCAGCGAAGCGCCGTTACGGCGTACAGCTGACACATTATTATTATTATTATTATTATAAGGTCGTGCTTTAACCATGGCTGTCACAGCTGAGTTGCATATTCGACATGGGTGCTAGCAAATGCACTGAGCATCTGTCGGAAAATGGTGATGTCATATTGTCCGAATGCCTGTCCTAGCAGCCCGACGTGTTGATTACCAGTTTTCCATGCCTTATCGGATTGCTGAGAACAACTCAAGTTGTATTGAACGACCACGCCCAAGAAGCGTTCGACGGAAGATCGCTGCAGTACTTGCGTTTCGAGCATGTAGCAGTAGGTACTCTGGTGTCGTATGGAGAGTACCTTGAATTTGCTCACGTGGAAATTCTGCGGATTTTCGGTTGCCCGTTGCCGTACCATATCCAAATCATGCTGCAGCATATCCAGATCGGCGTCCCACCTAATCCTGCGCCATATCTTGTTGTCGTCAGAAAACATTTGCAAACTTGAACCGATCGGCCGTGCCAGGTCGTTGATAAATGCCAAAAACAATCGTGGCCCTAGAACAGAGTCCTGAGGCACACCACATTCGACATTTATAGGGTCTGATAATGAGCTTCGAATTGTAGCCACCAGCTGCCGTTGCAGGAGTAAGTTGGCGATCCACCGATGCCATAATACTGCAGCTTGGAGAGGAGAATCCGATGGTCTAGGTGGTCGAATGCCGTCGAGAAATCCAAGTAGACCACATGGACGTTTTCTCCAACGTCAGCTGACTCGGTCCAGCTACTCCGGACTATCAGTAAATTCGTTGTGCACGATGGCTGTCGAGGAAATCCGTTTTGCTCGGGAGCAATGATGTTGCAGTTTTCCGGATAGCATACTAATGCATCGGCCACGATGGACTCCATGCCTTTGGACAGTACAGGATGAATTGATACCGCTGAAATATCTGAGCCAACGGTACTGCCAGTTGCCTTGACGCTGCTCCCAGTGCGTCTGGGCGAATAGTATCGACACCAGGGAAGCTGTAGTTGAACAGAAACGTATGGTTTTGCAGGACAGTTTTCGCAGTAAAAGTGAGGTTGTTGCGCAACTGCGTTGGGGTAACAAAAGATGAAAGATCACTTGGTGGTAAAACCCTCTTAAATGTGGATTCATATTGCGTTCGTGCATGTTATGGTTCAGTGTGTGACACAGCTACACTTCTGGGAACAACTGCGATAAGGCGGTGCTACTGTATGCACATGCAACTTCGTACAGAAGACATCAAACGGTTGGCCGTCTTTGATCACCAGGTCTCACGCATTATTGCAGGCATCTGGTGGGAACACAGGGTGAGCAATGCTGAGGTCCGCCAGTTGGTTTTTTGCAAGATACCCTCCGGTGTCTCACTTCAGTGTCTGTTGAAGTTATATCTTTAACGTTGCTTAGGTCATGTACTCCGTACACCAGTTAATCACCTGCCTCTGCGAGCATTATACGTCGTCCGTGCAGCAAGTTGGGCGAAAGTACATGGTGTTCAATCGATGACAGGGCATAAGGGTATGAAGAAATTGACCGGGAGGGTTGGTCAGGCATGTATTTGCCGTCTTCGTGGATAGTGCCTCGTGCTAGTCCAAACCAATGTGGTTACAGACTCTATCGGACGTGGCGCATTATCAGAGTCAATGCTGCCTTTGCATTCATGTTCTTGCGTTTAAGTGTTCATACTTCAATGCCATTAGCTTCATACACCTCGTTCTTGCTTCCAGTCTAACCGCATTTACTTATCATTGTTCCTTATTCCCAATCTGGCGACGCGAGTCGTGGCAAATGCATCCACGGCACTTTGGTGGCCGGATCATGGTTTATCAAGTGCACTGAACTAAACTGAAACAATCAAATAATCTTTAAGTATCGTAGGTTATATAGGGAAAAGAAATTCCAGATAGCATTTGGCTCACACAACAGGAAAGGAAAATACTAAAAGCGAGAAAATACTCCTCTAGCAAGTGGTAATTATTCCTAATGTGTAAGGTCTACTTGAAAGTGGTGCCTTTTTCCTACGGTGATTCTTTGGAAGCTAGTTTTCAGTCTACCGGCGTGCCCAACATGACTGTGTTTTAACATTACCTTTGATACAAATACGGGCACGTCGAAAACTTATTGTTCAGATTTACGTCAGTCTGTCTACTTTAAGGGAAACATAGCTGCGATGAAATAGCGGCAGTTGTGCATCACGTGTACGTTCGTGCGACAACGCGATGCCCAGTTTTACCACAGTAGACTCTGTACGTAACGGTAACTTCAGTGCTACGGCTTAACATTGGTCAGTACAGAGCCCCCAAGCATCCAGTTTTCCGCGAAACATGCTGTTCTCAAACACTGACTAGAATGTATCGATCGTTCAATTATCCGTAGTCTGTGCCTCATCGCGTGAAGCACCATGCAATTTAGGGTACGCAGACGCCACGATTGTGAGCGTAGTGCATCGTGGGAGATCCGATTGGATCTCCGGACTGCCGTTAGAATTCATCTGAGTTTTCTCAGGGCACGCAATGTGCGGCAATTTACGGTGCGTCAATGAAAATCGGTAGGCACATTCCGGATGCACCATAGTTATCCTTTCCATCACTTACCGAGAATTGCTTGGTTTTGTCTTCACTCTCTTGGACAGCGTAAGGTTCAGTGTGCTAACCGCCTACTTGATGAGAGGGACGGAAAGTATTAACTCCTAAAGTGAGCGCTCTCGGTGAGTCTGACCTAGTAGGTTTGGGATCACGTGGACTTCTTTGTCCATTAAGGGCACCAGTGACGCTTCCTGTAGTCTCCTACTTGAAATGCTTGTTTAGATCAGCTGGTTAATAGTGTTTCGAGGCAGCGCGTGCTACGATTATATACCCGCATTGTCCTAGCGCGATGGTCAAGCGTTGTTGTGTTTAGGTACATTTAGCATGAATGTGTTCTTAGGACATTTAACGTTTATAGTAAGCCTCACTTACCCAACGATTTTCTATTGATTGGGCTACTGATGTCGTATTTCAGCACTGCAACACTAGAAGATGCTGTTACACTACTGTTTTAATGTTTATGATAGAAATTGTTACGAGATACACATTTGCATCTGCCTTCTTACTTCCTGCTTTATGCAATTGGATACAAGGGATTCCCCACTGGTTTTCATCAAGGATGTCAAAAATGGCATAAATACCGGTCTATTTTGTAGATTTCATCGCGGATACGTGTCGCCGAACAACTTTCGCCAGTTGGTCACCATGTTTGATTTCACTCTGAGTCCCGCGGGAATCGATGCGATACTGGCTCGCCATTCGAACGACCACGGCTTCGACTATAGAGGTTTTCTGGCAGAGTTGGATCCCCCTCCACAAGAAGAGTTGGAATATCGTTATCTGAAACGACTCGAAGAGCTTCAGCAAACGAATATACGGGGCAAACAACGCCGGGAGATGGAGCCAGTCATCTGGGATTCAGAAGGTGTTCTGGACAAGATAAAGGCAGAGGTATGAGTGTTTCGGCAGGCGACTTGTCCAGAGCCTCGAGGTAGCCGACCTAAAATTGAATCACTCGATTTGAGTAGGCTTGCAGTAGTTGTGTCACTTTGCTCGTGACTGAAGGCGCATCACTGGCGGAGTAAGCGTAAGCCACATTTGCAGTTAGACTTGTCAAGCACACAGCAGAAAATACCCTGATTCTCAGGAGCGCCATTGTTTCTAGCGTCGTCAGCGGTGTACGGAAACTGGTGTATTTGCCTACCGTGATTGATGGATCAGCTTTCGTTTACTCTCGATTGGTTTCCTGAACCCACCTTACCGATGAGTTGTAGGGTTTTTCTCACTGTCTTACGCTGCAGTACGTTTCGCCGCGTTGCAGGTAATCATTTGCTTGAAAGATTTTACAATCATTCAAGCAAAAACACTATTCCCGTTCGAAAACACCTTGCCTCTATAAGGTTCGGTGGAAACAACAGGTCGTTTCCGGAAAATCCGAATGTATCTACCCCATTGTCTGCCGCCTTTTGAAATTGACTAATTTTCAAACTACTTATATTTTTAAGTAGTGTCTTTCGAACAGCAAGTCACAGTTATGGCTTCTTGGCTTTCTGGGATTAGTATCGACGCTGTCCCAACCGGAATCGGCAAAATGTTTCAGCATTCCCTAGTTAAAAGTCGAACTCCGAGCAGATATCTCATCAACGCAGACGTACCTATAGGTGTTCGAATTATTTGAACAGGTGGTGTAACACCACTCTGGGTGGTGATGCTGTTTGGACATCCATTAGCTGCGAGTTTCTGAAACTTCTGTTTCCCTTGAAAATGTACCTTACACTTGGAATAATAATGGGTGTTTATACGCCACTGTTTATTTTTCCATCCACATCTCTAAGCGAGTAGTATGAACGTGTGAATGTTGTTGCATTCTGACTCAGCTAATCACCATTACACTTTGCGATGCTTGGTGCGACTCGAACGAGTGCATCTACGTGACGTTGACATTGGTATGTAAGCCTTGTGATACGCTTTGTTCGCTCTATGACTTAGAGGTTCATGCTTCGGCTGATATGTCAGTTCCCAGTCTCATATTCCTGTCTACTCTACGCTGACTTGTGTCAACAAGCATGAAATCGGTCGTGTAGTGCGGTATGTTGCCAGCTGCACGCACCTAACATGTATCTACTTCAACTGAGGTGACCGACTGAACCTAAGTCTACTTTATGTGATTCGCGGTCTAAATTGAGACCAGATGGGAGAAGAAGAAGAAAAGTCATCGGCAGCACGTCTGCACACTGCCCCGACGCTTCGCTGCCAAGCGACCATCACTGGGCACGCGTTGGCTGAGTATTTCGTGAGGCCGCCTGCCCCTACGCGGATTCGACCCGCACGTAATCCTTTCGGCCACCGGCCGAACGAGAGCACTTCCGCGCTAATGTTTCTACATTCAACCTACATTTCTGAGTGGGCAACTTGAGGTTTCTTCTCTTTGGTGAGGGCTGATGCCAAATGCTGACTTCGGCTGACTTGCTATCTGCCAATGAATTGCGTCTCGTAGCACCTGACCCATAGTCAGATAACGATAGTTGCAGACACGAAAAATTGGTTCTGCTGTTTCATTGATAATCAATAACAATCAGTGTTCTTGATAACCATTGAACAGGCGTAGCGGGCGGTCACTGTTCCGATAGCTAGTTAGGGATTGTAGTATAGTAGTAAACGTATTAGAACTCTCTGCAACCCGGCAACTGTAACCCGTGGGGTGTGGATCCAAAGTCGGAAGGGGAACAATCTGCACGTAACACGCGTACGAAAGAGTATTTGGAAAAATATAACATATGCAGAGCAGCAACATTCATGATTAATTGCGAAATTATGCAAATTAGACGTACACAAGGTGGTATCTGGGCCGTAGTCCGCTCTACAATGGATGTATGAATCACTCTTTGAGCCTAGCACCGTCACGAGCACCATGCACTCCATCGTCTCCAGCAACAAACAACTGTCTCCTGGATCCCAGTATAGACGAGGTGGTGTGTAATGGACAAGTAGGCACCATGTCCACACTTACATCAAGCGCAGCTACATCGGGGATATCAATCAACTACCAAGCCATGAAATGCAGGAAACTCAACACGCAGGCACACTTACAGACCAAAGCAACGTCGATGTGGTACACGTACCATATCAACCGTCTGATTGGCCTGGATTAGTAAGTCGAATATGTGCGGACGCAGCGCACCTACGAATTGCTGTGTTGATTATGCTTAGATAATCATTTCGCTCGTGGTCTTTCGGATCCTGGCCCCACGTGGCAACGCCGGTGGTTTACCAGGCCCGCTTGGCTCAAGCACTCATATCCGCATGTGCAACAGCACAATGCGCTTGACATCGATAGGGTAGCCTCCATCGCCGACGACAAAAACAATGGGAATCCCTGTATCAACTAATAGGGGTTCAAGCTAAATCAGTTAGTATTATGCGTCTCGTCCGTCACCCAAACTCCGTACACTGCGGTGACCCTCGGATACCCCAGGTAACACTTCAGTCAGGTAATGATGCAGAGGCAGTTGTTCTCTTGTCAGCCACTCGCCTCCGTATCACCACTTGCACTGTACGAATATTTCCAGATGTACCTTGGAGCGAACGTCAGAAACGCAAACAAAATCCGAATGACTTCCGTAAACAAGTAGACACAAATTCTATCCTTCTTCATGGTGTTCCCGAGCTCCGGTCACTAACCAAGCTAGAGGTCAAAGCGCATGACTGGGATGAATGGCGTTTTATTCGTGTAGTACTCTCACTCGAAAATGTTATCGCTAATTCGACATCAAGGTTACCGCTATCACCTAACTAGAAAAAGTGTGATCCCGAGTGAGGAAAGTATCATTACACCCCAAACTGATGGCAGAACATATGATCAAATGTGTCACAAAAAGCGCAAAATGTTGCCATCCAAAATACGTATAAAGGCAATAGGCACCGGGTCACAGATAGACAATGTAACACTGAGCAGCCAACACACCAATACAATACTGTCACCGTGTAGCTCAGGACGGAAACAATACCAACACACACCGACAGCTGAAGGAGAACAGGATAGTCACCTTCTTGTTGGCACTGAGAGCTCTATACCACAACCTGAACTGGCCCTAGGGCCTGCGTCATCGGTCCTACCAAAAAAACGACCACCAGCCTATCCCGCAAGGGTTGGCATAAACACTCACCGGAAACCAGCATTCACAAACACGCTTCTGACCACCGTTACCCTCACCTGCTTGTATACCAATGCACAAAGTATTCCCAGCAAGCTAACCGAACTTCATATTCGTCAGGTCTCCAAACCTTGGGACCTAGTTATGGTCACCGGATCATGGTTGAACACGGAGATCACGGATGCTGCGATTACACTACCCGGCATGACTTCCATACGAAACGATCGACCTAGAAGTGGACGAGGAGTGCTCCTGTATTATCGATCCTACCTGCATGTTGATGTCATTGAGGACGCAGAAACGAAAGTCGTCGATTCGCTTTGGTGTCGTATGCACCTAAGATGTGGTGATGTGTGTTTACTAGCAATAGTTTACCGCCCTCTAATGTCCACCTTGGAAATGGATCAATGCCTAGCTTCTGCGATGAAACGAGTCCTGGCACGACCATACAGTCACGTGGGGAACTTAAACCTGCACGCAGTCGAAGCCCTAGCATCGCACAGTGAACAATTCAAGGCGGATTTGCAAGTGGTGATCACCGTAATACCTCTGTACAACCATGTCACCTCTCCCACACGATTCCGAACGGGTAATACACCTTCCGTTTTGGACCTTGTGCTCTCCAACGAGGAACTAATGGTCGACACTGTGACCATAGATGCACCACTTGGTCGTAGCGATCACACGATGTTGCCCTTTCGTTACATTTGTGACTCGGAGTACATCAGTGAGAACAAGGTGGAAACCTATTCGTTACACATCACGATATACTGTCCAAGTTCCTACAAGAACCCGACTGGTCCTTCCTGGCCGAGAAGCCGCCCGATGTCGCCTGGATGTTGTCCGTCACCCAATTCACTGAGCTAGTGGCAAATGCTTCAGAAAGCGAAGTCCTTCGCCAGAAGCAAGTGAATTCGTTCCTGAGGAGCAGTACTAGAACATGCATGGCCTTAAGGGATTCAGCCTGGCGCGCTTACAAAGTCTGTCCAAGTAGCCTGACCTAGGGTGCTTACACAACTCAACGAAACCACTGCGTCAACTTGATCCGCGAAGACAAACTCCAGCACCAACAGAACTTATCGGCGAAATCCAGTACAAATCCCAAGTTGCTGTATAAATAGGTCAACATGCTCGCAGAGTGTAGCGCGTGATCCCGGTTTTGCGTGCAACAGATGGGCTTGCGCAAACCGCACAACGTGCAGACAACGTGCTTCGCCAACACTTCATCCATACTTTCAGGTGTGAATCATCAGTTCATCCGCTTTTTACCCAGCTTCCATCGCCACTAGAGTTAAACCACGTATCGTTCACAGCAGCCAATGTGATGAAAACGCTAATGTCATTACGCATGCACAGCTCGCCTGACGTGGACAACATCAAACCGAAGGCCTTGAAGACAGCGGCCATGAACCCTGCCGAACCATTAGCTCGGTTCTTTAAATGTTGTGTCGACGAAATGCAGATTCCGACAATGTGGAAACATGCACTAGTCACTCCTATTTACAAATGTGGTAATCGTTCCGAGCCCCTCGAACTACCGTCCAACCACTCACCTCCCAGTTTTATCCAAAGTAATGGAACGTATAATTGCAGAGGCGCTCATGCGATATCTTGAGAGCACCAACATCTTAGTGTCAGAGCAACACGGATTCCGCCGAACTCGATCCTGCACTACCAACTTGCTGCTGGCCCGAGCAAGCTGGACAGAGTCAGCCGATGCCAGAATGGGAGTCGACGTTGTGCGCCTGGACTTCTCGAAAGCGTTCGATCGTTTGGACCACCGCATTCTCCTTCACA